GTTCCAGCTTTTTTACTGCATTTTTGTGTTCATCTAGGTGGGTACTTATTCTTCTATTGGTCTGTCCAATGTATGTGGCAGGGCATGATGCACAAGGGACTTCATATATTCCTTGGTTTTCCAGGTCAATTTTATCTTGGGGTTTCTTAGGATGGCTGCTATTTTTCTGTCTGTTTTGAAGGCAGTCTTGATGTGATGCCTGTGTAGTATCTTACTGATTTTGTCTGTAGTACCTCTTATGTAGGGCAGGACAGCTGTTCCATAGGTCTGTTCATCTTCTAGATCTCCATTATGTCTCAGTGTGTTTTTGTGGATCAAGCCGGTGATTTTGCTTTTGTGGAAGCCGTTAGCTGTCAGTACTTTAGTCAGGGTGCATAGTTCAGTCTTTATGTGTGTCTTGTCTGCCAGGCGTTTGGTTCTGGCGATTAGTGTTTTGGCCACGGAGTTTATCTGTGCTGGGTGGTGGTGGGATTGGGCGTTGAGGTAGCGGTTGGTGCGTGTTTTCTTCTGGTATATGGTGTGTCCTAGTGTGCCATCTGTTTTTTTGTAGATTAGTACATCTAGGAATGGTAGTTGTTTGTTTGTTTCCGTTTCCATGGTGAACTTGATTTTGGGGTGTGTGCTGTTTAGGTGTGTTAGGAAATTGTTTAGGTTTTCTTTTCCATGGGGCCAAATCACAAATGTGTCATCGATGTATCTTAACCATAGTTTGGGTTTGTGGGTGGCATTAGCTAGGGCTCTGGATTCAAATTCTTCCATGAACAGGTTTGCAATGATGGGTGATAGTGGTGATCCCATAGGGGCTCCTTCAATTTGCTTGTATCTTTGTCCTTTGTATATGAAATATGTGTTGGTTAAGCAGTGTTCTGCTAGTTCCATGAGGTGTTTAGCTGGTTGGTATTTATTTTTGATGATTTCAAGAGTTTCTTTTATCAGGACTTGAGTGAATTGTGAAACCACGTCGAAACTTACAAGCAGATCTTCTTGTTCCCCGTGTAGATCTTTGATCATTTCCAAGAAGTGGTGTGAGTTTTGTACATGTGAAGCTGCTGCTTCAGCATGGGGCTGTAGCTGCTTTGCTGTAGTGTTTAGCTAGGTTTTGTAGTGGTGCTTCTCTGGAGCTGACTATGGGTCTGAGAGGTATGCCTTCTTTGTGTATTTTTCAGAGGCCGTATAATTTGGGGCATCTGGAAGATTTTTCTCTTGGGATGATCGTCTGTTGGATCTCTTTGCTCATGTGGCTGGTCATAATTTTCTTCTTGGTTATTTTTTCCAGATATGTGGTTGGGTCCGTGTTTATGGGTTTGTATGTGGAGTCTGTCAATTTTGTTTCGTAGGTCTGTCAATTTTGTTTCGTAGTCTTTTCTATCCATTACTACTGTGGCATTACCTTTATCTGCTGGAAGTATGATTATGCTGCTGTTGTTTTTTAGGGCTTGCAGGGCTTTTAGTTCCTCTTTGTGCAAATTGCTTTTGGGTGGTTTGCTTGTGCATAGGATATTAGTAACTTGGTGTCTTATTCTATCAGCTTCATCTGTATTTAATTTAGTTAGGCTGGATTCTACTGCACATATGATGGATTCTGTGGGGATTTTTTGGGGTGCTATAGCGTAATTGAATCCTTTGGTTTGGACATCTGTTTCTGTTTTGGTGAGTTCTCTGTTGGAAACGTTATATACTAATTGTTTCAGGTGTTGTTGTGAGTTATTGGGGGCTTTCTTGTCATATTCTAATTTCTTTAGCTTCTTCAAGAGTTTGTCATTTTTGTAAGTGGTTTCAGTTTCAGCTCTCCATGTTGTAAGTTGTTTTATCTTGTCCCAAAGTAGAGGGTGGATTTTGCTGCTCAATTCCAGGTGTAGTGTGAGCAAATCTTTGTTAAACTGATCCAATTGGAATCTCTTTCTGTGGAGCTCGTTTCTGAGTAGAGCCATTTCAGTTCTTTTCAGGATACGTTTAGTAGCTGCTGTGCTGTGATGAAATGTTAGTTTGAAGCAGGTTGGTGTTGCATTGTTGTCTCTGCAGCTGTGTAGGAATTTGAGGTCACATAGTATTCCTGCTCTTTTAACTTCCAGCTTCTCATAGGTTTTGGTCTGGCTGTTTATTTCCTCCCCGTAGAGGTCTGATATTTGTTTTCTTCAGTTTTCGCAGGTACTTACATGTATGGTATTCAGCTTTTTTCGGGTATTTTCCACGTCATTATAGTTGTGCTTTTAAAGTTGTAGCAACGTTTTGGCAACTTTCAAAGCTCAACTATAATGATGTGGGAAAATACCCGAACAAAGCTGAATGCCATACATGTAAGTACCCGCGAAAACTTAAGAAAACAACATATAGATAGATAGATAGATAGATAGATAGATAGATAGATAGATTTGTCTGTTTTAAATGTATGTCAAATAAATCTTTTTTCTAGAATATTTTTTTTTAAAGGAAAGTAAGCAAAGAACTCCATGCAAATTGAATTCACTCCCACAGAAACAAAACATTTCCAGATTCAGCAAAAAAATAAATAACCAAACAGCTTGTTGCAAAACAACTGCCATTCACATCACCGATAAAATAAAATAAAATAATTTACTAGTCTCCTTTTTATACAGTATTTTAGTATGGAAGATTTTCAGCTCCTGAACATAGACAGTGTGGTAAGGGAAGGAGCATGGGGTATCTTAGGGCAATGGCCCCCAATCTTTTGGGCACTAGGGACCGGTTCTGTGGGAAGAGGTTTTTCCATGGACCAGAGGGAGTGCGGTTTTGCATGCTGCCTGAATCCCATGGATGGGGGGTGGCTTATTTGCATGGCCTGGTTTCTAGCATGCTGAGGCCCGGTACCGATCGACAGACTGGAGGTTGGGAACTCCTAACTTAGGGGGCTGGGGCGGCCTTGGCATAGGCCACACACAAGTATCTCTCAATTCAAGGGCTGAAAACCCTGCTTGGATTTTGACAGGGAGGATTTTCAGCTCCTGATCTGAGCCTCCTAGGGTTACCCCACCCCCCATGAGGCATCTCCTTACCTGGGACTCCATCTGCTTAGCAACCCACACAATCACTAAAGAATCACAATCAGGTGTGCTGGCATTGTGGTCACTGAGCAAAGCACTCGTGTGACATCTCACTAAGCAACTGCTTTGCAACCAAGATTCCAGTCCAATTGTGATTGTAAGACAAGGTACTGAGCTGACTAGCACATGAAGCAGAACATCTAAAGGATCGTCCTGTTTTAAAACAGGACTACAACAATTTTTACCATTCTTGGCATCCCCTGCTAAATATTGATGGAACCAACTGTTCTGCCCTTTATTTTCCAGCTTTGCAACTATAGTGACTGGGTAAGTTGGCACCTTGACTCTTATATGGGTATTAATTATGCACTGCACATCTTAAAATTACTGTAATTGGTTGTTATTGAAGTATCAAGTTAACTGCAATGAAACCAACAAATGCAAAAGGGTCTGTGACAACCTCCAGCCATTATTCCAAACAATTCCAGGAAGCTGAAGGTTTCAAAAGTTGATTTTAAAATTTCAACTGAATCAAATACAAAAAAAGATTCTTGATCCACCATACAGTTCATTTTATTTTCCTAAACTGGGCCAGGCTTCCCTTAACTTGCATTTATAATGACATTTCAATGTGGTACTTTACTCCAAGGTAAACATAGACATACTGCTAAACATGTTCACTTAACAATGAGCTGCAGTCAATCATTGCGTACTGGTAAGTTTATTTATATAATACTGAGGAATACAAACAGATTTTTATTTGCCTTCTGGCTTTTCTTTTTTAGATACATACCTACTACTTGAATGTCTACAAATTGGAGCAGTGAGGCACCAGCCCCAAGAAATTATCAGAAGAAGCAGAATACATATATGTAAATAAAAGAAGGAAGAAGAAACACAAGAAAAGACAGAGGAAAATATCTGTACTGGCAGATAGTGGAAGCCAATTATTCTTAAATTTATAGATAGGTGAGCCCTTCTGAAAATACCATCAGTTCTTCTCTCTCTTTTTTAAGGCATTAAGACTGTCAGTGTTGTCAGAATGTGGTTCCCAGATCTAAATAACTCAGAACTGAGTTAGAACTCAGAAGAAACTATGTGCTACTCTGCATTCCTATCTTTCCCTGATCATTGTGGTATCTGGAGTGGAAGCACAGAAACCTGGCAATTAAGTCTGATCACAGCTATCTGTCCCAGTTTACAGGATGGGATTCTGGCAGAATAGAGTCAGCTAATCACTGCTCCTCAGTTCTGTCTCTTTGAACAACCTCAGAGGAACAAATCTTTCTCCCTAGAGAAAGGTTGGGGGCTTTTTATTTTTTATTTTTTGTATATCATTCCCCCATTTTTAAGCTTCATGGCTGCAAAAAACCTTATCTAGAGCTAAATTTTGATGGTGCTTGGGATCACTCAGTGGACTAGTTTGAGGTTTTATAAGTATAATTCGCTGCTTTAAAATATTCACTTGGAGAAATTAGCAGAATGGAGCACAATGTACAATACACTAGAAGCATTCAACATGTTCTCAGCCATTTGAAAATACAGAATACATAATATAGCACTTGCTTGTCCCCCCCCCCAAATGCCTTCCTCCTTCTAAAGTGTATTTATCTCCATTTCCCCATCTTAGGAAGCCCAAAGGACTGTGGTTTAATTTGCCCCCAGCCCTCACTTCACAGCAATTAATCTTACCAACACAAATGCAAAATCCGCTTGGAAAACTCTGCACATTATTAACCGAAGCTTTTTGCTCCTTCCCCTTTCAGAGGAGTGGGTGGGTGGAAACAACAGAAGAGAAGGTAAATTATTTGACACCTAAATGCAACTGCAGAATGAAAAGGAAAAACACACACACACACACATATTCATCCGTACCGGTCTCTGGAACAATTACACTTTCAAAAGCCAGAAGACATTTATCACAGAGGGGAAAAAATACTTTGGGAGTGAGGTTAGATCTCAGTGAATTTGTAAAGAGTTTTTTTTTTCTCTTGTTACCTTGGTAACGGCTACCTTGGCACCCTTGTTGATAAGCTGCACCACATTATCCACTTGCCCTTTGTACGCAGCTATGAGAAGGCGTTCTGAAAGGACGGCGACCACATCCTGCTGGCTCATGAATTAGGGAAGAATGGCTTTGGGAACAAGCTTCTTCGATCCAAAAAAACAAAAGATTCACATCAGTCCAACTGCCGGGCACAGAGGGACCCCAGCATGGGAGAAGGTTGGTCTGTTGCTAAGCCATCTTCTGCATCTGTGGATCGGAGCAGCTGGAAAGGAGAAACAACATACACAGTCAGGCACATCTTGTAAACCAAAGAAAGTAGTAGCAATTCCTCCCCACCTACCCACCCCCCCCAAAAAAATGTGAAAAGGAGCGGCAAAGTAATTTGCAAAGATTATGAAGCTAGAAACCAAACACAGCCAAATCTATGGGGATTGGGGAGGAGAGATATTTTTGATCCACCCATCAGCAATTCACACATTTAGTAAGAATTACACAGTACATTCTAATCTCTGGGTGTATATAGACCACAGATCCGGCACTTTTTGGTAACCCACCTCTATTTTGTAGGTCCTTCAGGAGGTCCATTTGCAAGACTGACACCTCTTCACAGCCTTTCTGTTACAAGATAGCAGTGCTGAATCCCCTTCTTTTACTGAGACGCTCACTTTCACAAAATACCACCTCCGATGTGGGTGTGTATCAACCAGTCACCCATGTTCACATTTCTTCCAGCTATAATTTTGTGAGTTTTAGGCATATCATAAATCCAACTCGGACTGCACTCTTGAACAGCTTAGCCCACTGTGTGTCTCCTAACTGTCAGACTTAATCCTTCAAGGAGCAAAGCTTTAAAGAGCAAAAAAAAAAAAAAATTGGAAGATGCTTCACATAAGAAAACTAAACTATGGTGCTCTCTGAGCTTGCTTTGTTTTCTTGCAGATGTTTCAATACCTAACCCTAACTAGGTAACACCACCAGTGCTAGTCCTGCTGATGATACCTAGTGTGGGTAATGAAACGCCTTCAAGAAAACAAGCAAGCTCAGGGAGCAACAAGGATCTCTCATTTCAACCCTGAGCTCCAAATATTCTCCTTTATTGATGCTCCAAACTACTTCTCCCACCCATTTGTGCATGTGAAAAGCACATTCTTAACTCAAATCAAAAAGTGTCCTTTCCGATTAACAAAAATTGCCAGCTTCTTTGGTGGAACATTTCATGTCCAGATTGCTCATGCACCAAATTAAAATGAGAGAACACTCTGTACCACTTCAGTGTAGATAGACCACATTTTTATATTCCTCTTCTTAAACTGAAAGAGGGGGAAAGTGCGTTTTGCTATCAAAAACTAGCCAAAAAAACAACAACATTTTTTCCCTCATATTACACAGCTCTTAAAACTTTCTGGGATTACTTTTCTTTTATAGTGAGAACATTAAAATAATAGTCACAAAACAGGCTTTGTCACAGGTGAATAAGTTTCTTATAAGCTTGCGATATTGTGTGTGTTTGCCACTTTGAATTATTTACAAAAATAATAAAGGCAGGATATAAGTAAAATAAGTAAATAAATAAAAATAAGTGAAGTTGACCAAAATCAAGCATTCTTCCAGGAAATTTCAAGGAAACCCATCCAGAAATAAAGAGGATATTTAAATTTGCATTTGTCTACACTGCAAAATAGTAAAAAGACTGTCTGACATTCCTCTCTTAAGCTGACTAGTTTTCTTAAAGTAAAAATGCTAGGTTTTTTTTTTCATCTTACTGTTGGCAGCTTATGTCTGTTTGTATCTGCAAATTTTCTGCTAGTGATAATTGGGGGGTTCGAACTAGGAAAAACTACTCCAAACTACTTATTCTAAACTACTTATTAACACATTCCAAAACTACATCCACATATCCAGAACCACTCTAAATCTTGCTCTTACCATAGTGTGCCTTTATCACACATCCAGAACAGCTCCTTATCGCACTGCTGCTTATACAACTTGCAGCATACCAAGGGCCATGATTGGTAACTTTCTCAAATGAATTTCCTGTCTTGATCAACTTCATCCAAAACATCAAAACTCTGGTTTCTATTTCCCATTACAGCTTTAACTGGTGAACTTAAAACAAAAACAAAAACTTTGTGATTACTGGTCAACGAAAGGGCAGCAACAAAAGGGTTTTTTTTTTCTTTTTGTATCTCTTGGCTGCCATCTACTCGCTGTCTGAAACTGAATGCCAAGGAAAACCAAAATGCAGCCAGCAGATAAATTTACAGGAGCTGGCAAAAAGGAACTGGTATGAGGGCTGTGCCCTGCCAACATTACATGAAAAAAAAAGAGAGAGGAGTTAAGGCTTTCCAAGCAAAGAGACCCACCATGCAGCATATGCACAAGATCAAGTCTTTTCAATTACATGCCAGAAATGGAATAATTAATTTCCGGGCTTCACAATCATTATCAAAAGGGAAACAAAACGAAAAAGTGGCTGCAGAAGTCAGGATTCAAAATGACCTCACATGTCGTTATTTCTCCTTGCCTGTTTACTAAGTCTCTTATAAATTTACATATATTTACTTATTCATTTTCTCATTTAAAAGACTCACTATATATAACCTAACTCTGGGCAGCTTTTATGATTGAAACCAAGGGTGGGATTCAACCAGCTTTACTGCTGGTTTGGTGATTACATTTTGCGTGCACATGCTTACTGCGCACGCACGCTCGACATACATCATGCGCGAATGTGAATTAACTTTATGCTGTGCTGCCCAGGCAGCTGAAAAGTGTTGCACGCAGGCGTGTAAGTGTTCGAAAAGCCTCTTTTTCCCTGCTTTTTCAACCTCAGCTGTGCTGTGCAAAGCAGCTGAGGTTGAAAAAGCATGAAATAAAGGACACATAAGAGCCCAGGCAGGCGGTGGGCCAAACATCAGCAAACACAGAACCGGTTCTGTGTCTGCTGCTCTTCAGAGCTATCGGCTCTATAGAACTGGGCAGAACCGGCAGCATCCCACCTCTAATTGAAACATAATTTGTTGTTATTGTTAGTTGCGAAGTCATATCTGACCCATTGAGACCCCATGGACAACATTCCTCCAGGCCTTCCTGGAGGAGATCAACCCTGACTGCTCTTTAGAAGGCCAAATGCTGAAGATCAACTACTTTGGCCACCTAATAAGAAGGAAGGACTCACTGGAGAAGAGCCTAAAGCTGGGAAAGGTTGAGGGCAAAAGAAGAACGGGATGAGAGAGAATGAGGTAGCTGGATGGAATCACTGAAGCAGTATGTGTGAGTTTAAATGGACTCTAGAAACTGGTTCCATGTCATACAGGACTTTCAAATGTGATAACCTGCACCTTGAAACCAACAGAGCTCATGCAGCAATATATGTTTGGGTGAAATATGGCAAACCATGGGGGTGTCAAAACTGAGTGCACCACTGCATTCTTGCATAGTTGCAACTTCCAGATAGTCTCCAAGGATATCCCCATGTAGAACTCATTGAGATAATGCAGTCAGGAACTAACCAAGGCATGAGTAACTGTGAGTAAGGCCACTGGTCCAGGAATAGGCACAACTGGTACACAAGATGGATCTATGCAAAATCCCCCTAGCCACATCTGCTACCTGCTCCCCAAATGGCCACCATTAATCCAGAAGGACCACCAAGTTGTACACTAGATCTGCTGGGGCCAACTTTGCCTGATCTCAGAATAGCAAGCAGGGTTGGATCTGGTAAATATTTGAATGAAATCTACCTGGAAATCCCAAAATTGTGGGCTAGATTGGGGAGCTGGCAAACCATCTCAGAAAACTGTGGAGTCCTCTTGGTGCTTTCTGAGCTTCGTCGTCTTCTATCAGCATCTTGGAAAAAGCCAGTGATAAACCACTCTTGCACTGTTGCCAAGGGAACTATGCAGATGTGTCCATCAACCACGAAGGAGTATATTCCATTCTAAAGAGGCTTTATGCGTAGCTAACAAAACAGATGAGAATTTCAGACTCCTAGCAATGAGGGAAAGCTGAAATCCACTTCTAAATAATGAATTCCAAAAATAGTCCTGGATAACTCATTCACTGCTGCTCTACAGTTGAAGAATAATACCACCACCCCCCCCCCCCCAAAAAAAGAGATATCTGAAAACAATGTTAGCCTGCTTCAGAGATAAATAAGCAACTGGCAGTTTTCGGTACTTTTGAATAATGACTGCATACCATGGACCACATTTTATGTAACTGGATGCTTTGGGGCAGAAAAGCTTTTTAACTTCTCCTGTCTCCTGTGTATAAACCAGCTGTAAATGAAATAAAATGTTTGGATTTCAACTCCTTTTTTGCCAGTTAAGTCACAGATCCCCAACCCCCTGTCGGTGGACCAGTACTAGGCCGTGGCATGCCAGAAACCAGTCTGTGCAAACAAATAAAGCCCCATCTGCGTGATGCAGGCAGCACACAAAAACCACGCCCCCTCCAGTCCCCAGAAAAACTTGCCTCCACGGAATCAGTCCCTGGTGCCCAAAAGGTTCGGGAGCTAGTGACTTAAGTCACAGTGATGGTCAGGTTTTCCTGTCTGGACAGCTATTAATTTGGCCCTCAACTGGTGGATTTCCCCTTTTCTTTCCCCTTTTCACCCTGGTCTGAGGAAAGTAAAGAGATTTACAACTGCTCTCTGGTCTTTTAAGAACCGGTTAAAAAGAACTGGACTAAAAGGGAAAACTCTTGTCAAGCAGAGCTGCTATCGGCTTCTCCAATTAAAAGCAAAACTATGGCAAGCCTTTCACTGCTCCTTTTTGAACCTGTTTTGAAAAAGCAAAATAGGCCATGATCCAAGAGGAGGCAACTCTCAAAGGCAGAGATTGGGAAGAGAAGGCTCAACGGAGCACCCATCAACCAACTTGATCAGAAGGATCTGTGCAGAACAGACTGAAGGGCAGCAAGCAAACTAGATTGCCTTGCTTGGGCCAGCAGAAGGAGGAAAATAGTCCTTTGATGCAGAACGAGAAAGCTCAGGTGGAGGTTGCTTTCCTACCAGGATAGAGATAAGTTGAGGGCACCAACATCACCTGTTCCTGCCCTTCCATAACAGGTGCTGGCCTGTTCTCTCACACTGGGGCAAGCAGGAAGTATACACACCAGTCTTTTATGTACTCATTAGTAAGGGGACCAATTGTCCTCCTTTAGGGAGGACAGTCCTTCTTTTGTACCTTCTGTCCTCTCGCAAAAAGTGTCCTCCTACATGTCCTCCTTTTTGATATTTGAAGACTAATCCGTAAATCT